CGTCTATTGGATGGTGTAATGTCTGGCGCTCATGGGGTCGCTTTGCGGCTCTTAGTAGGCCCCTCGATGGCACGTGCCGGGTTGCTCTTGTCAGCACTGTCCCTCTGCGACCTGTTGAGCTTAGAGTCCAGGAGGCGGCCGGGCGCTGTGTTGCGGCCCTTGCTGATTTTCGGGATGAGGGTGGTGAGATCACTTCTATCTTGGTGGTGGGTGTGTACCTGCAACCTGGTAATGAGGCTGAGGCGGCTGGCCAGGCGGAAGATGTCCTGCAGCAAGCCTTGCACTGTGGATTCCGCTTTGCTGCCCTCGGCGACTTCAATCTCACCCCCCAGCACCCTACGATCCTGGAGTACCTGGATTCGGGCGAGGTGTGTGCAGGTGATGACTGCCAACCTGGTGTGGTGCAACAGCCACTGGCCAGCATACGCAGCTTCGCGCTACGCATGTTCATCATCTTGAAGGGCCTTCGGACCATCTTGTTGTGTCTTACGATTATGACCTGANNCTCGACGGCGATCATTAAAACCCCAGATCACCAAGGATGACATCGAGCGATGCTTTGATGAGTGGGATTCGTTACCCTTTCAACATGCCCTTGAACAGGGGCTGCTTGACCGGGCTTGGCAGCTCCTGTTTGACAGTGCTGAACAAGTGCTTTGTTATGAGAGTCCTGAGGCGATTCCCCGCTCCGCTGACTGGCAGCCTGTGCTGCCGACTTGTACTGTTGCTGGGAAACGACCTGAACGTTCGGCTGGCCTTCGAGCATTGCTGAAGCTTCAGGGCCGACTTCTCGTGGCCGCGCAACGCCCGCAGGATGTGGCACTTTTGAGCCGCATCACTCGATCCGTTCGTGCCGTCCGCCAGCTAGTACCTGAGTTGCCATTCTTTGACGTCATTGATGATGCCCTCCTTCAACAGGTCAAAGCTTTGGTTGAGACCTATGTTCAACAGGAAGGTGCTGCGGCTAAGGCCCGATGGCGGGACCGAACACACACGGATGGCTCCACTGCTCGTCGGTTTGTCAAGCGCAGGGCTGATCAGGTCATTGCCCGTGATAAGGCGTTGGCTGAAGGTGGCGTACCTGCTTGCGGACGACACCCAGCCGTTGAAGTTGACAAACAGGGGCAATTTGGTCTGCCAAGTGGCAGGCCCGGCCTGGGGTGGGCGCTGGTGATATCACTTCGCTTCTTAGAGCCGTTCCGCGGCCTAGTCGTGTGCAGGTCGAGTTCGTCTTTGATGCGAATGCCCTTCGCAGAAGCATGGCCACCATGGTGGCCAAAGCACCGGGTCCTGACAATTGGGCGGCCTCCGACTTGCTTCGTATGCCCGATAAGTGGTGGCATCATGCTGCTCAACTTTGGGATAAAGTTGTTGAACTGCGCAGGACGCCGCTTGCCTGGACTGCAGGCAAGACTTGCCTCATCTGGAAGGACAGCACCAAAACTCGTCCGATTACCATTCTCCCAGTGATATGGCGAGCCGGAGCTCGCCTGCTCAATGAACAGCTGCATGGCTGGGTCCGGTCATGGTGCCAATCATTTGACTGTGGAGGCCTTGCTGAAACCTCGGTCGCGACCGCTCTTCAGCAACTTCAACATGAGCTTGATCACCATGCCTGTGGAGCTATTCAGCAAGATATCGCAGGTTTCTTCGATAGTCTTGATCACAAGCTTACGGCACAAGTTCTTCGGCATCTCAGGGCTTCGGCTAGTCTGGTTGCTTTGGTTGAACACGTCTGGGCCACTGGCCGTCGCCTCTTCTCTTTAGAGGGAGCTTTGGGCACGGGCTGGCAGTGCCCTGGGCGCGGACTACCCCAGGGGTGTCCTCTTATAGTCCTCTAATCTCTGCGACTGTAACCCACGTGTGGGCTTGCTACGTCTTTGGGGCTCAGCATAGTGCACAGGATCCGGTCACCGGACACGGTTACGTCGATGACCGTCTCATGCTCCTCAGGGCTCACGGCACCTACCATGACCTCCGGCAGGCTGTTGAGCGCTCCAACATCTTCGACCGTGGTTTTGGGCTGGAGGTGGCAGTGACGAAGTGTGCCGTGCTTGCGCGTGGCAATGACGGGGAAGCCAGAGACCTTGCTGCCACGCTGCGATATAAGTTTGGTTCTGAGCTTCGCACCTTGGGGGTTAAGGTTTCGTTTGAGGGTCACTGGGGTTTGCTGCGATTCTCTCCGGAGAAATGCATCCAACGCCTGCGGGCCATCCGGAGTCTGCAACTGAGCATTGTACAGGTCAAACCACTTGTTCGCAGCTTGGTTCTGCCGTGCATCGCTTGGGCTGCTCCCTATGCGAGCCCCGATGCTGCGGACATCACTCGCCTCGCGGCGGAGATTGAGGCATGCTTGGAAATGATGGCGGGACATGGGGCTGCCAAAGTCCTCTTCTATGAAATAATTGGCTGGGAGCTTGAGCCACAGTTTGCTGTTGACCTCGCCATCCTCAGGGCTTTCTGGCGCACCAGTTGCAGGCCGGATGCTTGGACTGAGAGTCTTCCCCTTACGGAACTTGGAGGCTATGCGGCCCGTGTTCTACCACAGTTGCAGCCTACTCTTGCTCGGCTTGGATGGTGGATTTCTGAGGATACTCGGACCATCTCATGCCATGATGAGGAGAATGCCCTGAGAACTCTGCATCTTGGGCGTGAATCTTTCAAATGTCTCCGCGAGTGGCTCGCGATCTCGTACCGGCGGCTCTACTTCCACAAGACTTGGCGTGTGTGGCACCATCACCCGCGTCCTGAAGATCACGCCACGGGGCTGCAGTTGCCGGTCCCGGATGCTGACCTTGATTACCGATTTGAGGGGCACAAACGCGCCTATAAAGAAGCTGGCAACAATCGTGAGCTGCAGCTCGCAGTTGTGGGTGCCGGGGCCAGCAACTGGCACTTCAACGCTGGAGGCAACTTCGACCCTGATCATCCTCGCCATCGATGCCCGTGTGGAGGGCTTCGACCTTCGAGGCCGCATCTTGTGTGGAATTGCAGTCATTTTGAGGAGCTCCGCGGTGATCTGGCGCCGCCCAGAGACAAAGCGGCCGAGAGACTTTTTGCCTTACCGGTCGGCCGATTGCCGCGGGCACCGGCGTGCATTGATGCGCCTGGTTTCCATGACGAGCTGGTGGACGCAGTAGCTGGACATGCTCACCGGCGCAGATTGGTTGTGGCTACTGATGGCTCCTCCAAGGACTTTGTTGGGGCCATGGGCTTCGCCATTCATGAACCTGGCTGCCGTCTGGCTTTTGGTGATGCCTACGAGGACCAGCAGCCCTACCGCCTGGAGGTCACGGCCATTTGGCATCTGCTCCGGGCAATTTCTGCTGCTAAGGACCGAAGCTCTGGATTGCACCCGTGGGATTGCCAGGATGTTATCTGCGTGGTGGACTGCGAGTCGGCGATCACGGCGATCGAAGGCAAGCGCGACTTTGACCTGATGCTGGTGTTGCAGGACATCCGTCACTTTCGCCAGCGGTTGCTAGGGCAAGGCATCGACGTGTCCTTCGTGTGGTGCCCCTCGCACGGCAAAAGGCCGAAGTGGGCTCCTCCTCTTGGCCTGGATCCACAGACCCTTCGCGAACTCAATACTGCAGCTGACGTCGTGGCAGGCCAGTGCATGCAGCGTCGACGGAATGGCTCGGCGCGATTGGCCTGGGCTCAACACTTGGAGACTGCTGCTGAGTGGGAGTACCGTGCGGTACGGGCAGTGGCGGATATTGCCAAGGCATATCACACTCACCTACTGCAGTTTGGTGCTCGACCACGTGAGCGCGATCCTGGATGAGGTTCTCTTCCGCTGCTCTTACTTGCTTGACGGTTTTTGGGAGCTTGGTGCTCCGTGTTTCTGCCGAGCTTCGTGCTTGGTGCTATTTTCCCGTAGTTTGGCTCGCACCTTGAGTGTCGCCTCATGTCACAAGAGGGGTTTCGCTCGAGAGGGACCCTTTGCTACCTCGGCGCACCTCTGCTAGTTACCACTGCCTCCAATGTCTCGGAGTACACCTTGGCATACAGGCCTCGTGTTACTCTCGAGCTCATGTGCCTTCGGCGCGGATGGCCACTTTTGCTGCACATGCAATCGTCATGTGTAGGACACACAGCTGAAACAGTGCCAGCATGGACCTTTTCGGGCATGCTGGTTGGAAATTTCGGCAAATGGGTGCATAACGTCATCGGCACAATTCTCAGACTTGTCGAGAGCCCTGCGCGCCTACTTGTGCTGAAGTGATCTGATAATGCTGTCTTGCAAACTTGCCTAGAGGTCTCCTGAATCACAGGGAGTTCGTCGTGATGCTTGTTTGCCGGGAGCCAAGCTGAAGGAATTCCAACGGGGTCATGCCTTTGCTCGTGCACTAGCTGTTGACTCGCTTGTTGGCTCGTTCCGCGCTCACCCTATCCTTTGCAGGGATCAGCAGTGTGTTTCGACGGCCTTTTTCATGCATTACAGTAATGTTTTTTCGTCGAATGGGATCGTCGTTGCTGACTGCGATCCCTTCTCAGGTCTGTGCATGATTGGGCTGCCACTGCCTCAGCTCATCAGCTGTTCAGCGGACGCGGTGCGTGTTGGCTTTGCACTTGACGACGGCGCAAATTTTGAGGTTTGGCATCGTCCTGGACGGCTATCTCGCGTTGCTCCTAGCACAGAAGGCTTCGGCATGCTTGAGCTGTCTGTGATTGTTTCAGCATGCTTTACCTGCTTGCCTGTCTTGGACATGGCATGTGGGAAAGGAGATAGCGGTGGTGCTCCTGCCTTGACTGTCACGTTGGGCATGTTTGCTCGTCTTTGAGCAGCTGCGCGCGCGAGCGTGGGATGTCTGCATCCGAGATCGCACCTGGCTTTCTCGGTGGGCCTCCTGGCCATCGAAGTGTCCTTAACCTCAGTGGCAGTGACAACTTCATGCGCAACGCAAGACGAGCAGCTCAGCCTTTTAGCCGTTCAGGCCGATTTTCCGCATCCACATCGGCCTCGTTTCCAGGATCGTGACCACACAATCTGTGATTCGCCGAAAGCAAGAATGTAGAAGACTGGGTAATTATCGGCTGTACAGGGTAGACGACGGACTTGCAGCAGGAATGAACTGGCCGCAGAGTGGAGACACCACGACAACTACGTCGCTCGGAGCTCATGCATCAAGTGGTATCGCCAGGCTGTGTTCGGTGAGTTGCAAAGAGACATGGCGAAGGCAAACAACACTTCATTGGGCCACGGGATTCCCGTCCAGGATCTGGATGTTGAAGAGTGCCCGAAAGTTCAACCTCACACAACCACCATGTCTCCGTTGCAGAGCTCCAGCGCTGTCAGGTACAATCAGCTCTACGATGAAAAGGCATTCATCTATGACAAGTCCAGGAGACGGCTTTGCTCGCATCGATCTAGGTTCAAGTTGCTGCTTCTGCCGTGTGCCATGCGAAGGAACCGTTGGGACAAGGGTTGGTTCAACAACTGCTGGAAGTTTTGGTGCTGGCCGCTCTGGCCGGCGGCCCGCGGCTGAGAAGGAGTGAAAATGTCGGACAGTATCTTTGCAAGCTCTGACATGTGTGACTGTGAGGCTGAACTCGGCGAGTTCTGAACAAGAGGAACTTGCCTGCTGGCCCGGGCTTCATTGTTTAACATCTCTACGGG